CAGCCTAACTGTATAACTCAACAATTATACACATAACTCACCATCAACCAAGAACCACATTAATATCCTTATAAAATCCGCAAATATCCACTAGCAAACATAATGCCCTAGCACAACATCTCTATATCAACAATCCACCAAATCAATTATTTAGATTAAGACACACCATTCCCATAGGCTTATGATGTTTTAATCCTTCACTTCTAACGAGTCGTACACGCATAGCAATTGCGCCACATCACGCTTCAAATGCGCAACTCTGATAATCCACCTTAAGTCGCCGTCCTCGTTAAAATTTATGTCAAATATATGGTTTACAAGTTTCAATCTAGTTTCGTACTTTCTTTAACATCCATTGTAAAATCTTCGTTCACTTGATATTCTCAATCTTTCACATTTTGTGACGTTAGCTCGCATATAACTCGCTACTATGACTTGTTCAATATGTCTCAACTCTTTCTTGGAAATTCCTCTTATTACTTCACACAAACTAGTGAGGAATTATCCTCACGATATAACATCAACCACTTCACTCACCATTAAGATAGCCAGACAAGTTTATACCATCCAACACAATCTCGTCTAATATCAACAAGAGATTAAGGGTGATCAATTCCTCAATTTGTCAATAGATAGCCGACAATCATAATGGAGTATAAATTATCGTTACTAACTATAATAATGTTCCTTTCGAATTTGTACTCAAGTCACCTAAAGCACCATAATCTAATAATTTCCAATGAGGTTTACAAATACTCCCACAATTCCCCTTTCATTTGATTTTATCGATGAGACACCAACGCTTAACATATCACACGGTCCACATCACACTCACTTAACCTCACACGAAAGTTAAGTATTCTCCAACTCAAGAATTACTTTCTTCATCCCTGCATCATCAGGAATACAAGTTCGATTATGGAGTCATAACACACCCTACGAATCTAACTTGAAATTATCATTCTGAGACTGATAAAGTCCAACCACCGAATCTACCAATTCCACATCTAACTTCTGAGCTTCTTTGATATTGTCTAGAAAATCATTATTAATCTTCAACATCCCCAACATAACACTCTTCGGTGCCACCTTGCAAACTAAACTCATATCTCTGAAATGTTCAATTACTCCTAACCCTTTAACCATCGTTACTGACAGGTGAAAAGTCCTTTGGATTAAAGCATCCACCACAACCTTAGCTTTACCTGGATGATAACTCAAACCAAAATTATAATCTTTGAACAACTCCAACCATCTTTGTTGTCTCATATTCAATTGAAATCTCAACAACGCCATTCCACACTGTTTTGGGGGTAAAACCTCTCTAATTCTTCTTAAAAGCATTTTTCTTTAAAAGGACATCTTCATTCTAACCATTGTTAATCATCATAAGCTGCATCTTTATGAGCTTCTCATACCTCCACATCCTTTTTAATACCGAACATCTTGCTTCTCAACTTATTCGCCAACAACGTTTAATCTCATCTTGAACAACTGCGATAATAACCATTTATGCCCAAAAAGCCTCTAGTTCCATAAACGACTCCAGAGTTCCTCCATATGGGAATGCATCAACCATACTTGAAAACACTTTTATATGATAGAGTATATTTCTATCTCCTCATAGGTTCAAACGGAACACCAATCTGATACTCGGAATACAAGATATGAATTCCCAAGGTTATCCAAGAATGTAAACACCAACGTCATACAACGACATACTATCACACGCCTTACGATAACATCAGAACAAAATTTCTTTGTACCAGTACCAGCACTTACCATTCTTATTTCTTGAAATCGTACTCATCTCCTTGCATTTCCGACTCTAACTCGTGATTCAAATCATTCCAACAACTTTAACAACTTTTACAATCACCCACAATAATCCCACGACAAGGTCTACAACAATCTGTCACTCTATCACCGTTCAACCATCAACATCTTATGCAAGGGCTACTCAAACTGACAACTTCACCGTCCACCATTAGCGTTAAAACATTGCAACTTTCTAAATTTCCATCTTCTAAAATTATCCTTGTTACTTAACAATCACCTTCACAAACATCGGGGATTTACACTCCACTCGTATATCAACAATCGTTACATCACTCCTCATCCTTCGAGAAGTAAACATCAACAAGGTCTGATCCTCCTTCCCCAAGACGCTCCACTTGATTAACAAACAAAATCTGAAATCCATGTCATCTTCGGATCCGGGAAATAACAAGACTTCAACAATACCCGCATTATCGCCACCAACAACATACTGAACTAACATCTTACAACCAAAATATATCCGAGAAGCAAAGCTTCTCCCCCACTTATCTTCAACAAACTCCTACATACAAGCGATTAGAAAAACAAGCAAGCACCGGCAGTGTTTCACACACTGGTCGCGCACTAAGGAATAAACAACATTAGACAACTTGGCCGGATGGACCGACCTGCTCTGATACCACTAATGTAACACCCCAATTCTACCCTGCGGTGAAACAACTGACTGAAAATCATTAAACAATGAATTCGCCATCGAACGTCTTTTATCCCACATGTAGGGAAAGGTAAACATCGAGAAAACCTAAGAAGGGAGAAGTCACGGTCTTGCGACCGAGAGATCGGGTTAGGGAGTCTGTCACGCGAGGGGAAGGTATTAGCACCCCACACACCCGTAGTACTCTACGGTATCCACTCTTGTTGTCTATCTTACGGGTGTGTTTAATCTATGCTTATTGTTCACTATACTACTGAAGGGAGAATGCATGCAAAAGAAAGGGGAAAAGAATGTAGGGAAAATAAAATTGTGCTCGCTTGGGCCCTACCCCAATGCCTACGTATCCTTTTTGAGGAATCAGAGCTACCGTAGTTCGGCTCTTATGTTTTGTTTGTTTGTGTTTTTTATGGACGAAGTTAATTCCTCCTTCTGCCGCAGCTCGACCTTTGGAGACTTATGCGTTGACACAGAAGTAAATTAATCATGTCCTTACCTAAAAAGGGTCTTAGAGAAAAGGTGCTCGAGCGCACAAAATGATTTGAATTGGTTTTGTGTTTTATTACCTTGGAAAAGGGTTTAAGTATGATTAACATGTTTTTGATTTGCTAAGAAAAGAAGTTTTTGTTTTGAATGCAAGGACGCAAAAAGGGAAGAAAAGAGTCTAAGGGAGAGTAGCCTATTTATAAACCTAATGTTATCATACAATGGTAGTCTTATGTCAAGGATAAATGGGAAGTTTCTACCTACTGTTAGCATGCATGGTTTACAACCTAAGGTCTAACTTGCGTCCGAACGGAGCAAGAGCATCCTAATGGAACATGGTATGTACAAGGATAAAGCAAGCAAGCTAATAAGCTCAAGAGAGCACATATAAAGAGATCCTGCCTAGGTTAGCATGTCGAAGAAAGTCTAACAAAACTATCCTATAGGGAACATGCAATGAGAGCGAAGTCGTGATCTCAATTTCTAAATTGAGTGACTCAATGATCAACAAGAAATAAAGGAAAGCGATAAAATCCTATAGGGAGCATGCACTGAGAGCAAAGTCGTGATCTCAATTTCTAAATTGAGTGACTCATCGATCAATCAACAAAGAAACAAACACAAGAAAAACACATATAGAAAATGAAGTGAGGAATGCCTGCTACAGGTCTTTAAACAGCGACTTTGAGCCCACGCTCTTTATTTCCTACTTCACATGATATCTAGAAAGCAATAAAGTGCGGAAATGAGGAATAAAATGAGATTGTGATGATACTGAACGGAGAAGGTCCGCTGCCTCTTCAAAACCACGCAAGCGATAAGAAAACTCTACAGGATTTGCTCTGCACGGGCGATCAAAAAATTAATCTCCAAGCATTCCCCGTTGCGAAAGTTACATCAATATAATATCACAAAATCTTAGCTAAAAATGATAATGAAAATGATTGTTAAACATAAAATAATAGAAAATTCTAATAAAATTCTAAAGAAAAATCCTAAAGAATTCTAAAAATATGCTACTATTTTATATCATATTTTGCCATCAAAATTATGAAAAATAAATTGATAACCTTCTATACAGAGGGGGTGCGAAATTGGATACATGGTATAGAAAAGCAAAAGCTAGCGCTATCACCCAAGCTAAAAGTCCAATGCATATTTTTTGGTATTAGCCATAACAAACAGTTTCAAAAAAATAGCCATGGGCCTCAAGGGAATGTGACTGGGTCCACCAATCATACCAAGGTCCCTTCATTTTTTAACAAATTTGATGATGATTTTTTTTATAAAAATATTACAAGAATCATTAAAAAAAATGAAAGAATCAAAGGGGAGGATACGGTGCGTTCCAATTGAATTAGGGTTCCAAATTCTTACTGTTCAGTTCCCAATATCTCAATCGTCTTCCTCTTTGCAACCAAACCACCACGCGACTCACCCCCTTCTCGCTGCTTTCTCAACCATGGCACTGAACAACACGTTTTCATCTCATCTCCTCTTCCTTTCCTCAGTTGCGACTTCTCCCTGTCCCCAATCAGAACATAATGTCGCTGCGACTTCTCTCCATTCGACTTAGACCTCCATCTCGCTCTGTTTCAGTTCAACAATGTCGCAAATCTTTCTCTCAGTCTCGTACCTTTCGTCTCCATATCAATTCACCATTGGATCAACTCTAAGCTTCCAGTTACGATCTGACTCAGAAAGTGACAGTATCAGGAGAAGAAATGAATGTGAGGCCAGTAACACACATCGAAAGAGAGAATTAATCAAGCGATCTTGAAATCTTACTGGCCGGAATCCATCCGACGCGTCTTCAATGGCGGTGATGATGCGGGAAAACCAAAGAATAACTCTGAAGCGCTCAGGTATGGCTCTTTTCAGATTCTTGATGTTTTTGTTTTCTTCTCGTTCATTCTTTGCATTTTCTGTTCTCCTGCATTTTCCATTCTCCTGCATTTTCGTTACAATGTTGTTGATTCTTGCAACTTTAGATTCAATGATGAAGAGTTGCTATTGAGGATTAATGACGCCGAAGGTTGATGATGGATGGCCACCTCTTGTTGCAGATTTGATGAATACGAAAATGGTTACGGCAAGTTCGTTCTTGGTATTGAAGAACGTTGCAACAAAATTGGTGAAGATGTTACTGACTCGTTGATGTAGAGAGATGATGAAGGCATGACGCCGAGGTGAATGAAGGTGTTGAGGGAAGTTTGATGCGTGTGTTGCAGAGAAAGAGAGTACGGGGAAGATGGAGATTAAAGAAGATGGAGAGAGATTTCCGAGAGAGTTTTGTGATTCTCCCAGAAAAATGGAGAGTGAATCGATTTCAGGTGTGAATTCTGTTTTTATATTCTGTTAGAGCTCTTAGCAGTTAGTTATAACTTGAAACCAATCTAAGCCTTTGCTTTTGATTTTCAGTTAGAGAAATTGTGTGGTTAGGATTGGTTCTATTTGAAAGTTAGTTAGAGATGAGAGTGAATCTGAGCTATTGAATCCTTGAGTTAGTTACAAGATTAGATGGCTAAGATTCTTTCTGATTTTGGCCTTATGGTTTTCTGTTACATTGCTCAGCTTGCCCTGCTCTGATTTTCTGTTTTTTGGGAGCCAATGTATGTTTTTTAGCATGATGTGATCTCGTGATTCATAGTGTCCTTTGTTAATTTTGATGCAGGCTATATATCGGGGAAACATGAAGTTTTGGGATGCATAGTCATGTTGATGTAATTGGCTGCAGGTTGTACTTGATGATGCAAGCTTAGCATGATCGGTTATGTATTCGGTTGAGCATAACCGGAGGCATGACATTCACTCTGTGTTGGTTTTTCTTATGCAGGTTTGTGTTTTGACTCCGGTTAGATTAAAACTCAGATGGTAGTTAAATGAAGTAGTAAAAAAAGTGTTACTTAGCTAGTGTAAGTGCAGTTAGAAGTGGTTTTAATTGAAGGATAATGTTGACAATTAGTTTTCTGGTTTTGGATTTTGTTAATAGCTACTGCAGGTTAGTTTTTGCTAAGCTGGGATTCAGTTACAGTAGTTGCAGTTTTGTTTCTTTTTGTTGGAATCTGTTATTTTCAAGGAAGGAGAGAGGGAGTTATCACAGTTAGAAAATGGTTCTGCTATGATATGGTTATTTGGTTGGTAATTAGTTGTTTAGAAATTATGCTTTTGACAGTTCTGCCGGCTTTTTCCTTGAACATGGTGGTTTTCCTAGATTGGTTTTGCAGGTTGTGGGAGCATAGTGCCATGGCCTTGATGAAAGCAAACAGAAGCGGTGAGAAGGAAACTTGAAGGTCAGCGGTTCGGTAATGAAGGCAACAACATGAAGATATGAATAAGTCTTCGTTTATGGGATTTGAGAACCAATGTCGCATGGAGATTGTAGGTGTTTAGGTATTGGCTTGCATTTTTGGTAAATCCCAAGTGTATGTGTGAATGTCATGACTGATGTCATAACATTCTAGTTCAGTTTGTACTGACTCATTAGGTACCTTTGCAGAAAAATATTGTAATTCAAGTACTGATGTTTATAAGTGTGTATCTGAGCATTTTGCAAAATGATCACATTTTGCTAAATCAGTAGACAGGTTTTCTCAGATGTCATAACAGATGTTATGACATCCTGTTCTGAACTAACAGGTTTGCAGGTTGGATAAGTCTGAGTTTTTTCAGGAAAACAACTCAGTCTTTCCTGAACAGAATCCTGCGTTTTCTGAGGGGTAACCTAGCTCAACCCTAACCTGGTTAATAAAGCCCTGTGACCTGGTCTTTAGGTCAAACGGAATCAACCCTAGGTTTTTGTGGAAACCCTAACTGAAGTTGCAGCTGCTATATATTCAACAGAGCTGCTGTTTTTCAAGGCATCCCTTTTATTGATCAGAAGATCATTTGTAATCTGTATAGATTTGATTATTGTACTCCAAGCAATTATCATTGTGATAAGTGACTTGGAATAGGTTTCGAATTGTAAGGGCTGTGTAGCACTCAAAGCTTTGAAGCAAGAGTGTTTGAATGTTCCTTGACTAAAGCTGTGAAGCAGAGTCAAGTTAGCTGTGTGCATCACTCAAAGCTGTGAAGCACGAGTGATTGTGTTGCTTGATTAAAAAGCTGTGAAGCTTAATCAAGTGTTTGTTTTTGAAGAGTGTCTTCATCAATTCTTAAGTCAAATTGGTTTATGTATCACTGCTGTGATTGAGGGGGAGTGAGTAGGAACTCAGGTTTAAGTTGTACTTAGATTGGAATTGCATTGGGTAGGTCTTAAGTGAAGGAGATAAACTGGTTGGTTTATTCCTGAATTAACATCTCTTATAGTGGATTTCCTCCCTGGCTTGGTAGCCCCCAGAGTAGGTGTTGTTGCACACTGAACTGGGTAAACAATTGACTGTGTTCTTTATTGCTTTTGTATTTACTGTCATATATTAAGTCAGATACGGTGTCATAACATTGAACGTGACATTGAGTATCTGCAGCCAGAATTTCAATTGGTATCAGAGCAGGCACCCTGCCTGTATTACTGGGTGAGATCTAGGGATATCACTTTCTGGCACTATGGACAAAGAAGGAGTTTTTGGAAATAGACCACCCATTCTGGATGGAACTAATTATGACTACTGGAAACCTCGTATGATTGCCTTCCTAAAATCTCTGGACAAAAAGGCTTGGAGAGCTGCTGACAAAGGATGGATTCATCCCACCATAACTGAGAAAGATGGGATAATCAGTCTGAAGCCTGAGGAAGATTGGAGTAAAGAAGAAGATGAGTTAGCTTTGGGAAATTCAAAATCTTTAAATGCCTTGTTCAATGGAATTGATAGAAACATTTTCAGACTAGTACATCAATATGAACTGGCCAAGGAAGTTTGGGACACTCTCAAAACTACTCATGAGGGCACTTCCAAAGTAAAAATGTCAAGGCTTCAGATGTTGACCACCAAGTTTGAGAATCTAAAAATGATGGAAGATGAAACCATTCATGAGTTTCACATGAACATCTTGGAGATTGCCAACACCTCAGGAGCACTGGGAGAAAAGATGTCAGAAGAAAAACTGGTAAGGAAGATTCTCAGATCCTTGCCTAAAAGATTTGCAATGAAGGTAACTGCCATAGAGGAAGCCCAGGACATCAGCAAGTTGAAAGTGGATGAACTTATTGGGTCTCTTCAGACTTTTGAGATGGGGATCACTGATAATGGTGACAAGAAGAACAAAAGCATAACACTTGTATCCAACACTGATGTTGAAAACAAGGAGGATGAAGAAGAAAATATATCAGAAGCTATTGCCATGCTTGGAAGACAGTTCAACAAGCTCATCAAAAGAATGGATCCAAAGTCAAGGTCTAATGTTCATAACATTCCCTCTGACATTGACAGTTCCAGCAGAAGACCAAGGTCAGAAGATAAGGGAAACCAAGGCAGAGGTATTCAATGCCATGGATGTGAAGGATATGGACATATTCGAGTTGAATGTCCTACCTTTCTTAAGAAACAAAAGAAAGGAATGACTGTTACTTGGTCTGACTATGATTCAGAAAGTAATTCTGAAGAAGAATCTGCCAAACTAGTTACTGCTCTAACTAGTGTTTGTACTTCTGAAAGTGACACTAGTGATGAAGAAGTGACATTTGAAGAACTGGCTGATACCTACAAGAAATTGTGTATCAGAAGTGCTGAAGTCTGTGTGCAGAATGAGAAACAATCAAAACTCATTATAAAGCTGGAGGCGAAAAAAAGGGCAGATCTTGAAACTATAAGTCACCTAGAAGGGGAAGTTCAATTACTGAATTCACAACTGAACCAAATGACAAAATCTGCCAAGATGTTGACCAATGGATCAGATAAATTGGAAGAGATCCTACAAGTGGGACAAAATGTGGGAAACAAATCTGGTCTAGGATTTGTGGAAGCTAAGAAACCTGGTGCAGACAAGAAGATCAGGCATGTTAAACAATTGTCAAAGCAGATGTCTCAACACAACTCTCAACATCAGAAATACATGAAGAAAAAATACCAAAGATGGAGATGTCATCATTGTGGGAGGTATGGACACATAAAGCCCTTCTGCTTCAAATTGCATGGATACCCTAATCAAAACTCTGGTGCTAAACCTAAGCCAAAAAGGGTACCACATACTCCTCATTGGAAGAAAAAGGCTACTGCCCTGATAGCCCATACTTCCCTGAGAGTGTCTGCAAAGGAAGGCTGGTACTTTGACAGTGGATGTTCCAGACACATGACTGGATTCAAAAATCTCCTCAATAATGTTATGCCTCACACCACCAGTTTTGTGACCTTTGGAGATGGTGCTAAAGGTGAAGTCAAAGGAGTTGGTATTTTGGACTGTCCTGGAGTTCCAAGTCTGAATAAAGTACTGCTGGTAAAAGGGTTGACTGCTAATCTCATTAGTATCAGTCAATTATGTGATCTAGGATTCAAGGTCAACTTCTCAAGATCTGAATGTCTAGTAATTAATGAAAAACTAGAAGTTGTAATGAGAGGAATCAGATCCAAAGATAACTGCTACTTATGGCAGCCTGAGAACACTGATATCTCCACTATGTGTCCAATCATCAAAGAAGAAAAAGAGATGAAACTGTGGCAGCATAAGCTTGGTCCCCTTCATCTAAGAAGAATGAAAAGAGCTATTTCTATGGAAGATGTCAGAAGAACTCCAAAACTACAGGTTGATAATATCTGTGATGTGGCAAATAAACTTGAAGAAGGATGTGTTGTCAGAACCTTAAGTCATCTTGACAAGGATGTTGGAAATAACAAGTCTAATAAATTCTGTTCTCATAACATCTGGTCAAAACAGATGCTCCATGAGTACAATGTTACACAAGATGTTGTGACATTGTGTTGTGACAATCTGAAAACAATCAACATTTCCTTGAACCCTATTGACTTTGAAGAGAAGAAGTCATTTAAACTGGAACATAGTTTCTCTAAGCTTCAGCTGACTGATTCTTCTACCAAGGCTCTTGTTGGAAATAAACTTGAAAATTTGAGGGGCAGGTTGGGTATTCACCAACATAAGAAATTATAGCAATTAATTTTGCTTAAAACAAAGGTTGAAGGAATTAATTTTATTAAGTCTATCTTTAGTGGGTTAATCATATACTTTCACAATTCCTTCAAAATCTTTAAGAAGTTGAAGAGACTCCCCTTTACCCCCTACCTCTCTCGTCCTTGCAACCTGTTTCCTCCTCTCAATCAAAGATTTTTCTCAAACTGCTACCATTACTCAAAGTCAATCAAAATGTCTCAGACATCGTCTTCAACCATGGCGACTTCGTCATCCTCATCATCGTCATCATCTGACCAAGATTCTAGGGCAATCACCACATGCATAGAATCTGAAGTTCTTGAGGTCACTCCTCTCAGAGAGATGGCAACTGACCCAGCCAAAGTCAAAAAGCTCAGAACCAGACATGCAGGAAGAGCTCAAGCTACAACCTCTGGTAATTCTTCTCATCCTTCGTCTTCTGTACCTAATAGAGAAGGATCAGTTCAAGTTCACCAAGCTATTGCTAGGCTGGTTACTAGTATACTGAGTGGCAACCAATCTGTACCGGGGATTTCTGTCCCTTTAAATCAATCAGAAAGTCCAAATGTGGAAGTTTCTGAAAATGTAGATGTCACTGAGAATGTTGTGACACAAAAAGACAACATTCAGAACCCTTCAGAAAAGGCTGTTGATTCACCTATCATTGATGTGGATGAGGATTACTCAGATAATGATCTGATTGCTAATGTGAACCCTAGCATAGCTAGGAGATTGATGAAAAGAAAGAGTAGTCAGAATGATAAACCTAATGCTAAGAAATCCAAGGCTGAAGGCATGGCTGAGAAAAGTATTCAGACAAAAGGGAAGAAGGCCCAGGTGCATACTGCTAGACAACCAATCTCTAAGAAGAGTAAAGAACCTGAATCTTCTGATTCTGATGAGGAATCAGAATTTGAGATTGATACTGAAGAAACTCCCATCAGAAGGAAGCTCCCCTCCAGCAAAATTGCTAGAGTTCCTGAAGTGCCAACAGACAACATCTCTTTTCATCATCCTGACAATGCAAACAGATGGAAGTATGTTTGCTTAAAGAGAATAGCCTTAGAGAGAGAACTCAACAATGATGCCTTGGAGTGCAAAGACATCATGGACCTGATCAAGAATGCTGGACTAATGAAGACAATGATAAAGTTTAACAAATGTTATGAAAATCTGGTCAAGGAGTTTGTAGTGAACTTGTCTAATGATTGTGCTGATGGAAGGTCAGCTGACTTTGAAAGTGTTTT